GTATTGGCTGCATGACGATTAGACTCACCAATCTCTAATAATTGTAAAAAGTGATCTATATCTTGAATTTTGACGACAGTAACACCAGGAGCTGATACTTCTCCAGTTTTGGGATCTTCATTAATAGGGATGTTGACCTTTTCAGGAGCTAGCAAATCTTGAATAGATTCCATATACAACTGAGAACAAATAGAGCACAGTAAATTCTGATTTCCCACATACATTAGAAAACTTGTAGAGATTCTCACTCCTCCGGAAAAAAAATCTTTAGTAGTCCAAAGAAAAGTTATTGAGCATGCCAACGGCAACATTCTTGTGACCGAAATGTATAAGATACAGAGATTCAGGCTTGTTCACAGAAACTAGATTTTGGATTTTCTTCCTTTTTGATTTCAGTTCGTCGGCAAATAACCAAAAAAAATAATAGTGGAGAAAAAAAACTCAACTTGCAGACTTCTCTTTTAAGCAAATAATTAGGCTGACGTATTTGATTTCAAATTTTTATTTTTTATAAGATTGAAAATTTTAGAGATTTACTTAAAAGAGCGTAAATAGATTATGTTGCACCATTAACCAAGCTCGAAATATTCATATGAAGATAAAGAGTTGGAATATGAAGAGCAGACAAGACAGGAGGCCAACTTCAACCTAGCATAAATCTATATTTTGCTGCTCAAATTTGTGGAATTCACCAACCCAATAATATCAGCTTTTTATATATTCTTCCAGCATTTTACAGCTTTCCAGTCTTACCTAAACAATTTTAAATGATCAAGATCGATCCTAAATTAACCAACTAAAAGTAGAACGATAAAGCAAGTTCAAGAAAATAAAAACTGCATCAATCTATTAAGTAATTGGCTGCAAAAATCTACTGACACTAAAGTTTCCACTGTTCAAAGTGAAGTACTCAGAAACAAAACAATCAGAAAGATTCACAAAAAGTAGTATGAGAATTACCATTCATAAAGGCACACGTGGATAGTACCTGCAAATAGGAAATCTCCACGCTGTCCGAAGTAGGAGATACATTGGCAATGATGTCTTCCAAAGCTCTAACCATGATACCACGTTCAGAAGCATCTTCTTTACCCATCCTTCCAAGTGTGTAAGTCTTACCAGTACCTGTTTGACCGTAAGCCATAATTGTGCCATTATATCCATTTAGCACGCTCTGCAAAAAGTACATCAAACTTATTAATATAGATATTAACTAGCATAGTCTGTAAAGACTAAAAAGATGAAATAATAGTTATCTATACAATAAGAAGAACCACCAGATAGGGGAAGCAAACTAAAAAATGTCTATGAAAATTAAGATCACACATGCACATACACAACCTTTGATCCACAACACATATCAAACATGAAATTTGAGGAATTATCAATGATTTCGCTTTTCAGTCACTAACCTCAACAACAGGTTTTGCTACCACTTCATATACACGCTTTTGAGAAGAAGATTCCGTAAAAACTTCATCAAAACGATATGACTCAGAACTCCAGTTGTTTTTTTTCAATTTCAACCGTTTCAGCTACATGGTAAAATAAAAAGATACAAAAAGAAGAAGATCGTTATGAGCACAGCTCCCACAAAAGAAAAGTAAGAACAAGACTTGGAAGCACATTAGTAACTCGTGCCTAATGATGAATTGATAGGCTGTTGATATTATACTAGAGATATAAATCTTAAATATTTTTTATCCAACACATGAACCATGTCAAAAAGCAGAAACTCCAACTTATTGATGAATATATAAGATTTTCATGATATAATTTTGTAATTATGTTGAAAATTACCTCTGGCTGTAATTCAACACAATCAGCAAAATCTGCATCTGAAAGGAGATCCTCAGCATTTCTAGGTCGAACTCTAACAGCCACTCTCACCCGCTGAGAATCTATCAAAAGATTCACGGGCAAAAAACATCAAATCTTGATCCTTATACCAAGAAGATATGCTAGCTTCGCAAATGCAAGAAAATCCTTTTCAAAATTTATTCACCAGAGAAGCTAACCATTTTAGTATATGCAGATGTAATGATCACCCTAAAGATGGATAATTCGAGTATGATGCTTAGATGACTGTCAAAGCAGCCTGGTTTGGATCAGATTTCAAAGGGATGGAAGAAAATTGATATTTAATAAGGAAAATAACACCTCTCATGCTATGTATATATTAAATCATTAAATAGTAAAAATATTTGCCCAAGACTTTAAATCGACAAATATACAATTCAACTACTTCTAGTAAGAATTTATCACTTAACTAAGAAGCAGAAACCTATAGGTATTCATATTGGAATTTACACAGGCCAGGGACTATCTTAAGCATCACTGTTCCGGATAAGGATCATCTCCGTTGAGTTTCTGCGGACTACTATTCACTGTTTTTCCACTAACCGTTTGAATTCCCACCAACACCCAACGGAGTTCACACAAAAACTCTGTTAGTTATCAATCAAATCTCGTCAGAATGACTGAGATAGCAATCATCATATTACGTCAACATTTGATCATTTTAGTCATTAGTCCTTCCAAAATGATCGCATCGGAGAAAATATTCGTCTTTGTATACTTTACAAATTCTTTAAGCGCCTTTCCCTTAATTCAATACCCGGCATGTTAACCCTTCTCGTACTGCGCTCATCACAAGAGAACAGGCATATGCATCGAACAAAGTTTAGTAACAAAAAGAATGTACACAATTACAACTTCGAACTGTGAGTTTAATACGTTCCCGCTTAAGTTCCTTGAACTATCGTATTTATATTATTGGTTCATTTGGTAAACGAGTTTCAGAATGGTAGCAGAGTTCTATAAAGGCAAAAATCCAATTTCGTACAATCCGCTTTTGCCCAGCTGGCAAATATCCTCACACCGCAAAAACAAAACCATGAAGTTTGCAAACTCAGGGTCAAACAGAGATGCGCGAGTTCATACTCATTTAAGAATGTAAACAAATCAGAGAGAAAACACATAATGAGAACAAACAAATCAGACTAACACATTCCAAATGTAACAGAACGCCTAACACGTATTGAACCAATAACAGTCAGAAACAGATCAACACGGCAAGCATCCAAACCGCGCAAGCAAATAAACTAACACAGAGAGATAAAAAGAGACAGATATCAAAACCTTCATCGGCGTCAAACGAATGAGACCTTGAAGTAGAAGTAACTGAGCGTCGAGAAGTAGTAGACGCTTTATTACGAGCAGATGAACTGAAACTCTGTCCATGACCAACACTTTTCGAAGCAGCAATGGGGAAAGCAGAGGAGTTATTATGAGCAGGAGAAAGCGGAACATGATGATGAATACCTTGCCTCTCGGACCTCAATGAAGACCTGAAACCATTACTGCCAATACCACCAATACCACTACCATTCGAAGCCATTTCTCTTCCAAATCAAAGTCTCCGATCAGAGCATGTAGCTCGAAGCTTCAGATGGAATTGAACACCGAGAATCAAACGCACATTTACAGGACGACGACGACTCCATGGCCGAATACCAGAGAAGTTGAGGCCGGCACGTAGAGAATAAGAGAGAGAAGGAGAGAGAAATGGTTCCCGCGTTGGCAAATGGGTAACGTTCGGGGCGGCAGCTTTTATTAATTAAATTAAATTTATAGCTATTTAATTAAATGGGCATTTATTTTAATCCCAAGAGTAACCAATAAAAATGTCACTTATTATTATTATTATTAATTAAACCATCCCTCCTTCTTTTTTAAATAATAATAATAAATAAATAAATGTCAAAACTAAAATTAAAAGTGTATTTTCTTCTTGTCCCTATTTAGTTTGTCTGTTTGTTTGTGATTTTCTTTTCCATTTTTTTTTAAATTGTGAGTTTTTTTTTTAAATATAAAAAAAAAAATGAGCATAAGTCAAAATAAAAATAAATAAATAATTTTTATTTAAAAGGAAAAATATAATAAACAAATTGTCTGTTTTCTTTTGTTTGATTTATAAAGACTTGATTTCAAAATTTATAATTTTATTATTGCTAAAATTTAAAAATATTTTAATTTATTTCACATATTTAAAATATAATTATTTAATCCATATTTTAATATTAATGAATTGATTATATAGGTTTAAGTATGTGTACTAACATGTTACTACGAACGCGGCTATAGACCAAATAAGATAAAAGACCAAATAAGATAAAAGACGAACATTCGGTCTACCATCCAATGATTGTTTTGGAGTTGATAGACTGAAATAAAATAAAATTTAGAATAAAAACATATATTTTGAAAATTTAAGGACAAAAATAATTTTACTGATGGTGCTTATAGCTTGATATACGAGCACGATGTAGACCTACAACAAAACTTTCTAACCTATCAATTTTTATCCCTTGTTCAAAATTATAAATAATTAAAGAAATCACTTATAGCTTGATATACGAGCACGATGTAGACCTACAACAAAACTTTCTAACCTATCAATTTTTACCCCTTGTTCAAAATTATAAATAATGAAAGAAATCACTTTTTTATGATCACGGGAAACCCTTTATGGGAGGACAATAAAGATTTATATTTTCAAATTTATTTTATAACTAATAGAAATACAGAGCGGGGCTGAGTTTTTTCTATTTCAAACCGTATTCACTTACATAATACTGATATAACAACGATTTTAACTACTAACAGGTCTACTTACTCGTTTCGTTTTCAGCCCATGACTTCAAAAGTGATTTTATTGCAAAAATAGTCTGTGATTAATGAAGGACGATCTTTCTCGTGAGGTCTATAGCTCTAAAATAAGATTTATTAATTATGGATTTGAGAGTGAGAGGTCAATAATTGGTGCATCATGTCTCGATGTGGAAATTGTAGGGACCTCAAGAGACATAGGTCTCATGCATAATGTTGTAGGACATTTAAATTTGCAAAGATTTTACAAGGAACTTGAGTATAAAGCATTATAGCACATGCAATGTTTTCCTCACAATGTTTTAAAAAAGGACAATCCCTATTATTGGAAATTATTGTTTGACATTTATTGAAATATTTATGCTCATAACCAACTTCAGATGAATTATTCCTCAATAAGTTAATAAGTTTATTGGAGAGATTTAATGACTTACATAATTCAATACCCTTTTGTTCGACTAAAACCATTCTTGACTTCATCCCATCTTCTTCAGCTTATCACCGGCAGTCTGTTCAAGATTTTAATTGGCAAATAAACACTGCGCTTGTTGCGGGACTTAACCCAACACCTTACGGCACGAACTGACGACAGTCATGCAGCACCTGTGTTCATGTTTCCAAAGGCACCCTTCTCTTTCAAGAGGATTTGCACCATGTTAGCATTTTCGAACTAATATCAAACTAACCTCTTAAATGTAATTTAAATCAAGCATAACTACGTTTGGAATCGAAAATAGTTCAACTAAGGCGTACGTTTTGATCCAAGAAGTCAAAGATTTGAATTCTCGCCCCACTCAACTATCTTCCGTTCATCAAACTGATGATTACCATAGTCATTTCTATTTCTACAGTAACTTTTCAATCTCAGCAAAAACCAGAAAGTAAAAAATGAATAGGGAATCTCGTACCTGTTGGAGTTTGAGTTAATGGATGGTATCAATATCCAGTTGAATAATATCCATTTTGTCAGACTGAAGGACGATTCTGGTGGTACTGTATAACAAGAGAGGCTCTGCTGTCCGTTTGTTTTTTGTTGCTTCATTTTGGTGACAACGGATGGGAATTTTGTAGTCGGTGCAAAGCTGGAATCTGGACAAAAACCATGTTCCCAGATCTTGAGTTATTTCAGATAATACATAGATCTCGATAAAATTGAAGTGTGGGACTGAATAGAGAGTTAAGCTAACAAGGCTAAGATTTAGAGACCGGTTATTGTGAGATCCCACTCTAGGAACGAAGCATTTTTTATAAAAGTACGAAATTTTTTTCCTAATAGACGTTTTAAAAACCTTGAGGCAAATTTCAGGGAAAACCCAAAAAAGACAATATCAACTAGTGTGGGCTTGAGCTGTTACAAATAGTATAAGAGCCAGACATAGGGTGGTGTGCTAGCGAGGACACTGGCCCCAAGCCGTGGGATTTCAAGAAGGGAACAAAAACATTTTTTATAAAGGTATGGAACCCTCTCACTAGCGGACATGTTTTAAAACATTCAAGAGAAGCCCAAAACGAAAAATTCAAAGAGGACAATATTTGTTAACGGTGGGCTTAGGCTGTTAATGGTCCCTCCTTTCTTTTGTGATTTCAAACCAACAGCCGACCGACGTGGTGGGAAAATATCACAGTAATGGGCTAGTACCTTAAATAAGGTCAGATGCTAACCTCTAGACCAGCAGCTTTTACAAGTTCCCGAGCTTCATGGTTCCTTCCTTCATGTACCAACAAAAGCACAGTAAGTTAGTTAGGAGCTAGTGCATTACAAGCACCGCATGCAGAAAACAGGTATTAGTATATTTTCCTTCCCAGATTGCTGCATAGCATCAACAAAAATAGAGTAGAACTCAAATATCAACAACATTCAAGTTACAAACCAAGAAACTTCGAAGGTCTATGCAATCATTACTTCAAGACCAATTAGATCAAAGAAGAAGGAATGAATGATTTGAGAGTGCATAGATATTTAAAAACTAATATGGATGGATAAAGCACCACGGTACATAGATGGGGCCTTAATACATTTGATTGTCGTGGTAGTAACTCCATAGAATCTGGTGTGATATGAATCCAACCACTGGTTCATTGCATGTACCCAAAAGAGCAATTATAAGAAGTAAGACAAAAGAAAATTCAAGAGATTTTTACATTACATATTCAAAGCTAATCAATGCACGGGAAGAAACAAAGATTTTTTAGCCCAAATGTCCTTATAATATTAATATATCAAGTCAGAGAATGATATAAATAACCCAAATATCTTTATAATATTAGTATTTCAAGTCAAGAGGATGATATGAAAAGAAAAAATACTCAGAATCATGACAATAAATACCATTTGACTTTGTAAAGAGCCTGAAGACTTCTTGAACTACCATTTTTTACTATTGATTTATTTTCTTCCATTTTCATTTAATATATTTTAATTCAAAGCCCTTAGTAGTTGAATTACCCATGTTTGGATGATCATTTTGGACTATTTAAAGGCATGTAATATTCAAGTTTGATTGGACTATTTAAAGGCATGTAATATTTTTTGATTATCATTTTGAATTCAAAACCGTGTGTTTCTTGAAACTTTTCGTGTTATATTTCTTTTCCAAATCTTGCTTTAGGTTTGAAGTTAAACTAATTCATTGAATTAGTCTTAATCAAACTAATTCTAGGGTGAGTCGTCTTGAGATCTAAGGATGATCATCATAGATTCAAAGTTTGACGGAGAGTTATTCATCCTTATAACGAGCTCTGAGTTGGAATCATTTTAGCTTTATTTGTGAAAGTTAGCAAAGATCCTAAAAGGACATCTAGCTTTGCAAATCCAATATAACTTATTGCATATTTGAAAAGTTTGTCAATTTGTGAAAGTTTGGGTTTGCAAAGATAGAATTCCTTCGTTTACAAACTTTCACAAATAGAGCTAACTAATGAATGATTCCAACCAAGAACTAGTTAGAAAGAAATAATCTTATATCGAATTTTGAATCTATGATGATCACTCTTAGATCCCAAGACGACTCACTCCCAAATTAGCTTGATCAAAGACTAATTTAATGAATCGGCTTAACTTCAAATCTAAAACAAGATTTGAAAACAAAGATAACACCAAAAAATTTCAAGAAACTGTGTATTCAAAATGATAATCAAACTTGAATATTACATTCCTTTAAATAGGCCAAAATGACCCTCCAAACATAATGGTATTCAACCATGGACTTCGAATTGAAAGCTATTAAATGAATATTGAATAAAATAAAAACTATCACATTTATGACTAATGGTAGTTCACTAACAAAGACAAAAAAGTCTTCCAAACACTTTTCAAAGTAAGGTGGTATTTATTGACGCTCCATATTCTACAATTCTTAGCTTTTTCCATTCATATCATTCTCTTCTTTATTTGATATACTAATATTATAAAGACGGGACTAACCTTTGAAGATATAGTGTAAAGGTTAGGAGCACCTGGAATAGTTGGGTTCATACCATGATATGCAATGGACGCCATCAATTATTGTTGCCTCACTAATTGCTATCAGGTTCTGGTTACTAAAGGCACCATCTATTGCTGCAATGTACCTACAGTTATAGAGGGAAATGTTGGCATTTTCAGAAATCAAACATTCAAAATTTTAAAAGCTAGGAAATGAAACTTATTCTTCTTTAATTGGCATAATTGAAACATCTTTGGATAGTTTTGACAACATTTCCTTCGCAACCTCCTTAAAGTTTATATTGCATGATTGATGTCTTGGTTCATATCAATTTCCTTCCACATAAACCAAACAACAACAAATAACAGAGCACAAACTATCAAACAGAAAAATTGAAAAGTATATATAGACAGTGAAAAAAAGAAGGGTACGCATAAAAGAAGGCTGCGAGATAGAAGAGCTTGAGCATCTATCGACTTTTTCTCTGTTCAATTGATTGGAGCTTCTGTTAATATAGTTGTTGATCGAGGCTATAATTAAGCTCATATATCGCATAACAATGGTGTATAAACCGCTCAGATTGTTCAATATCTCCATTCTATCCATAGGTAGTATGAAGATTGTGCCAAGTAAAATCATCTTTAGAATCAATTTGCACCGACTATATTTGCAAGCTTTGCAATGGTATGATATTCTCCTCAGCTCTCGCTTTGCTTATGGTTTTCGAAAAGACCTCATACCAATAAAGATATATTTCTTACTTGTAAACTCATGATCATCCCCTAAATTAGTGGAGGGAAGACTCCCCACCAACAATCCTCAACCTATCATGTCATCCTATAGCCAAAACCCATTGTCGTACTAAACATTTTTCGAAAAAAGCCCAAATAAAGACGACTAGCCACCACACCAAGCACAAAACAGAAACAAGTAAAGAGTAAATAGCAAGCACAAAAGAATGCTGTGGAACAGAACACGCCGATCTGCTATAAGCCACAATTAGCTTTTCGCCTAAACAACCATCGGAAGATTGGTAGATACACTTAAAAAAGTCATCAAGAGTGAGAAGCACAAACCTCCAGCGGCAGCAAGAACTTTACGAGACGTTGTAACGAATCGCTAATATTCTCATTCTAAAACCTTCGCGCAGCCTTCGAATGCTTGGGGGGCTCAGGTACGCGTTTATCAGCAGAATTCTTCTTCTTCTTCTTCTCGGGCTTGGTTTCATCCTCCGACATGGATTGAAGAAATCGTGTAGGCGAATGCTATTGATGCTTGAGAGTGCCATCTCCGCCGCGAACTATCCAAAGAATGATGAGCTGACCGCCGGTGTTTCGATCAATGAACTGAAAAGGATCTTCAACTTCGAATTTGGGCTTCGAGTTTGGGGGCGCGAATGTGATGTTCAACTCCGACGAAGATGAAGAGGAGGCGTTGGGAGCGGAACTGGAGCGAGAGAGAACAGGCGCTGCGAGGAATGGCGCGAACGAGGTTTGAGGATAAACGAAGGTTTTGAGAGATGATGTGAGTAAACTATTTCTATTTATATATTGATGTTAATATTATTTTTTAAATTTTAAACTATTTTTTAAACGTTAATATCGATATATTAACCGTAATTTTTTTAAAATAAAGGTCGGAGATGTTAATAATATTAAATATTTTTAATTATAATATTAATGATAACAATAATTTTTTAAAATAAAGGTGAAAGGTATTAATATTATTTAGTAATTTAAGGATATTTTTAAAATATAATATTAACAATAAAAATATGTTTTAATATTTTAAAATAATTAAGTGTATTAATTTTTTTAATTAAAAGTTTAAGAGTAGTAAAAATATTTTTTTAAGATTATTTTAAAAAATTTTGAGGAAATTATTATAATTTTGAAAAGTTTGAACCCTAATTCGTTGGTTCTTACTAAGAAAGGCCCAAAACATTGGGCTCGCGAGGCCCAAAAACATTTCTCCCGGACGCGTGGGTTAAACGCGCGCTTTTTTCCATGGAGTTAGAATCCGATGAATCAATCAGAGTTCGCGCAGGCAGCATTGGTTTCTTGTTGAATTCTGAGTAATGGAAAAAAAGGGCGAAGTAGGCGTCGTTGTGTGTTGAATCCAGGGCTGTATTCTTTCATTTCTGCTGAATTGATCGTTAACCGCTGAGAGAATACTGCTCCAATCGTTCTCATTTCAGAATCTGCGATTTTCGAGTGAGTTCATTCAACAATTTGAAATTACTGTCTGTTTCTTAATCATTGTAAATGGAAAACTCCGAGGAAGTAGGGAAAAATACGATAAGAACGAGCTCCGAGGAGGAGGAGGAGGAGGTAGAGCGTGAACCTTCCAATTTTGAAAATGGCGATGAAGAAGACGAGGAAGTTGAAGATGAGGAAGAAGACGAGGAAGATGAGGATGATGAGGATGACGATGAGGAGGAACCGCCGCGGAGGAAGCCTATTTTGGATGCTTCTAGGTTGATTGCTCAGAGGTCTAAGTTAGAGAATCTGGTTGAGCGAATGAGGAAGGAGAAGGTCAGACTTCGGGTTCATGATATTTTGATCAAGGGAAACTCGAAGACCAAGGATTCTCTAATCGAGGCCGAAGTGGAGGCTATTAAGAATGCCTCAACTATGCAAGAATTGCTGGAGGCCGCGGGCGTAGCCAATGCCAATCTCCAGAGGCTCGAGATCTTCGACTCTGTCAAGATTACTCTTGATTCAGGCCCGCCGGAACTCCCTGGTACCGCAAATGTTGTTATCGAGGTTGTGGAGGCGGGCAACCCTCTCTCCGGCGAATGCGGTGCTTACACAAAACCTGCGGTAAGATTTTGTTCTGTATGTATATATGTAGATATTCGTGTCTAATGCGTTAATCAGTGGCTTGTTGTTTGATAAGATATTACCGAAGGAGGAAGAAAAGACCTGCATTGATATAGTTGTCTACCCCTCTAAATCTAAACGGTTTGATATCTTTTATGTGGCTTGTGCTTGTCGTGGTTCCCTTTTCAGATATGCAAATTGTATACCCTAACATATGTCAGAAGTGATTTGCTGCAAACTAGAATCTAAAAGTGAGCTTCCCAGGTAGTAAACAATGTTTGATCGTATGCTCCCTGTATTTTGTACCTTGTATACTATCTGGGCATAAAACTCATTAGAACTGTTCTGGAGCATGAAGGTCGTTAAATTGGTGATCTTACACTCATTTCTTGCCTTAAGAATGGTTGTTTGTTCGAGTCATTATTCAGTATATGAGTATGAGAGTGAAGTGAACTATGTAGTGTCTTGAATTAAAGTAGATTGGAAGGAGGGTCATACTGTTGTCCGTGTGTAACCAAAGCACACTTCTCTGTCACTAGTTATGTGAAATCAAGATTTTTTTTCCCCACTTTTATCATTGTTTTCAGAAACTTTACTCATGGCACCAAACCTCGTTACTATGGATATCGAACTTTTTAATGCTTATTACGTAACAATTAGGAACTCTGAGTCCTTTAACTCTGGTTATTTTTTGATGTGATCTCACTGTTCAGAACCAGACTATTGTTCCCTTAGATAATTTTTTTTTTTTTTTTTGTATAATTGGAATTCGTGTGAACTATTTGGCTTGCTACCTCTAGTGGGAAGTTTGAAGTGGTATAATGCTTTTGTAGGCTCGTTCGTGGACTTTTGAAGGTTCTGTTAAGTATAAAAATTGGCTTGGATATGGGGATTTATGGGATGGCTCTTTGGCCTACGGTCCTAATCAAACATCTGAGGTGAGTGCCGGTGTTTATTTACCTAGGCTGAAGCGATTGATGACTCCTTTGGTGGCACGACTATCCCTACTTTCCCAAGATTGGATGGAGTTTTCATCTTACAAAGAGCGGTCTTTAGGTCTTTCTCTTGGTTTATATTCTACTAAGTATCATGATTTGGGATACAACCTTGGATGGCGTACCATAACTGACCCTTCACAGATGGCATCTAATTCAATAAGGAGACAACTTGGAAATAGTTTACTTTCTTCCCTAAAATATACTTTTAAGGTTGACAAGAGGAATTCAGCAGTGAGGCCAACTCGAGGATATGCTTTTGTTTCTACTAGTCAAATTGGTGGCCTTGCACCTGATCACCGGAGCTTGCGATTTGTCCGCCAGGTTTTCTTCTTGTCTTCTTGTGTCTCTTGTAACAACAAAAGATTTGCGCATGTAGTTAAACAGTTTGTTGTTGGACATTCATAGTTGTACCATGCAATACTTGCTTCGTTCAATGTTGAGGAAAACTCTGTTTCCAACGTTTAACAGGAATTTGATCTACGGTATGCCATTCCTTTCGGCTTTGATCGTGCTGCCATGAACTTTGGAGTCTCTGCCGGCGTTGTCCTTCCTTGGGGAAATGGATTCTTGAACAAGCCATCATCCCTTCCAGAACGCTTTTTCTTAGGTGGTGATTTCTCTCCAGTATGCACCATTGGAGGCCCCACAACTGTGTGGGGATTTAAAACGCGTGGAATGGGACCAACTGAGCCAAGGCGGGAAGTGAGAGACGAAAATAAGGGTGAAGACAATGATGCTCTTGGAAGGGATTTTGTTGGAGGGGATCTTGCAGTCACTGCTTTTGCTGATCTCTCATTTGACCTCCCACTTCGCTGGTTAAGAGAACATGGAATCCACGGACACATCTTTGCTGGTGCGGGGAACCTTGCTAAGTTGACAGAGAATGAGTTTCGTAGTTTCTCTTTTCAGAAGTTCAGGGAAACATTCCGTACCTCTGTGGGAGTTGGGATTGTGGTTCCAACAAGACTCTTCCGCCTAGAGGTCAGTCGTAATCTCTGATTCGTGTGTTTTTTTTGTTTTGGTGCCTAATTTATTGGTCTGGGTTTGATCTCTGTTTTTGTGTATAAAGAAAAGGCGTGGTCCCTATGGATCCTATGTAATGTCATGCTTGCTGTTTCCACCGTATTGTTTTCTTTTGAACAGAAAAAGGGGACAACACCTGCTGTATATTGCTTCTCGATCTTTTATGTACTTACTACTTATTCTAGTTTGGTTCTATGAACAGGGGAACTTCTACTACATATTGAAGCAACAAGAGCATGATCGTGGAAAAACTGGCTTTCGATTTAGCATTTCTGCTCCATCATAAACATTTAATTTTGACGAGATTTCATGTCCAGGAATTACAGAGTAAGGCGGAAGTTAATTTCTTTCTGGCAATTTGTTTCATTTGCTTCTTGACAGCTGCCCTTTCTTAGTTATCAATTTGAACTGGTTGAAAAAACTTCCTTTTACACGTCCAGGGAAGTGACAAAAAAAGGAAAAAGAAAGTTTTGCTTCAACCATGGAGAATGGAGAATAATTTGATTTGTGATGCTGTATTTGAACAGGTTACGGAAATTTCCCCTCAATATTGGTTTCATTATAACCCAAATGGGCGGATAATTTTCTTCCTCCATCAATGAAATGAGACTTTTTCATTTCATAGCTTATATGGTTTATGATTCTCTGTCTCTCCACAATATGTTTTGTGCTCATCTTATCAATTTTGTTTTGAATAGAATCTCTTCATGCCTGCATTGTTTTCCACCCCTTCTAAATAGTCCTGAAAGTTTTGTTATTCTAGAATACCTGAAATGCTTAAATCCTTTTTCCATCTGGAATTTGGTTTGTGATTCTATTAGATTATCAAGTCCACCTCTAGCGCAGATATTGTCTTCTTTCCCTTTCGGACTCCCCTCAAGGTTTTCAAAACACATCTATTAGGGAGAGGTTTTCATATCCTTACAACAGGTCTACTAGTGATTTTTTTCCAAAACTTTCTAGACATTTTTTTATGCACTTGCTTGACAGAAGGCTTTCTCCTCTGCCTCTCTTGTCCATTCTTCCTGGAAATCTTGGATTCTGTCAATGATTGAAGTGAATCCACGCTTATAGGCGGAGACCGAATGGAAACTTCTGTACATACGGTTGTATGTAAACTTTTTCTTATTACCTTCCTTCATTGTTTGCCAAAAAATAAGTATTTATTAACGGTGTGATATCATTGAATGATATGTCGAATACCAAATGGACAAAATATTTACTGTCAGTATTATTTTTTTTAGACATAATAGTGTTCTATGCAGGAGGATTTCAGAACAAGGAGGAATATGAGAAAATTGGGAGATTTCATTGGAGTTCAAGTTGCAGTTTCTGATAATGGAAACATTTTTTTCCGGAGTACGTTTCAATTTCAATAGTCCCAAAGAATGATGAGTTGTTCTTATAGATTACATTCAAAATTCACACACTAATACTTGAAGAATAGATTTCCTACTCACCAGAAGATGGTTAATGGCGTGAAGATGAGAGACATACATATGAGATGGTCGTGGGAGGTGACACTATGCTGAAATGATCAATGAAGAAAACCTTGATCAACAAAAGTAACGTTAATAAACTGATTTAGAAAGAAGTCATATTTTGATGTCATCGGACGATTTCAAGCCATAGTTGAGGGGTGACGATACATATAT